AGGGCATTATAACAATAAAGAAATGAGAATATTGATATTGACAATGATAATAATAGTTATAATATTGATAATAATGATGACAATGGTGTAATGATAATACTGATAATGATAATAATGATGACAATGGTGTAATGATAATACTGATAATGATAATAATGATAATGATAATGATAATAATGATAATGATAATGATAATAATTATAATGATAATAATGATAATAATAATGATTAATAATTATTATTTCAATGATAATAATAACTATGATAATAACAATGACGATAATATGATAATAATAATAATAATGATGATAAAGATAATAATAGTAATAATGACAATAGTAATTATGATAATACAATGACGATAATAATGATAATAATAATAATGTTAATAATGATTAATAGTTATTATAATGATAATGATAATAATAATTATGATAACAATGACGATAATGTAATAATAATAATAATAATAATAATAATAATAATAATGATGATGATGATAAAGATAATAATAGTAATAATGACAATAGTAATTATGATAATAACAATGACGATAATATAATAATAATAATAATAATAATAATGATAAAGATAATAATAGTAATAATGACAATAGTGAATATAATGTAATCTTTATAATAGTGGTCATAATAACAATATAAATAATAGTACTAAGTATGATAGAAGGAACAGTAATGTTATCATTAATGAAAATTGTAATGATATTGATAATGGCAATACTCAATCTGATAATGATAACAATATTACCAGATAAAAATGATATCAATAATGCTAATGAGTCCTGAGCCTTCGCCAACGTGCCCGTAACTGGAGCCCTTGGCACGAATGGGCACTCCCACTCACCGCTGCCTCCCGTTGATGGCACTTGCAGGCACAGTTGGATACGATCACATACTGCGTTTCTGGTGTCTTGTTTGTCTGTGTTAACAGCATAAAACCTGGCTCTGTATGTTGGAATGTGTGTGTGTGTGAGAGAGAGAGAGTGTGTGAGAGTTGGTGTGTGTGTTTTTCCTCTCCCTGCCCCTCCCTGAGAGAGCGTGTGTGCGCGGATGGATGGATGGGTATGGTAAGCCAGATCTTTGTCTCTGGATAAAAGCGGTTGGTGGTGAGTGTCTGTAATTTGAGTCACACTCGCCCCACGCCAGGCCAAATGTACTGGATATGATATGAGTCTGCATTTGACCGTGTATAAAAAAAGATCGTGTATTTTGTATCTTACAGTCTACGTACATAAGAACGTGCCAGAAATAGGACACTTTTGCAACTTTATGAGCAAACGCCTACGCATTTCCAAGCAAGGGCTAAAAATAGCAAGGGTCTAAGAGGAAAAAAATGAAGGATCTATCCCAGAGTCCGCATTTCGATACGAGCCTGCGGACGTGAGACCGGGCGCGTCGATGGCCCCCAGCAGAAGCACAACGACACCTTCCTGCTTCTCCTTCTCACAGTACCGTTGGGCTACTCGATCTCATACCCTCCTCCCCCTCCCCGCCTCTGCCAACACCCGCAGCACCCCGTCTTCCTCCTCCCTCCCACCATCCATCTCCCCCACCTCCCGCCCGTCCTGCCCATCCCACCCCCACTAAAAGGCACACCTGCACGCCCCAAGAGACGGGCAGAAGGAGACGGACCCCGCAGGACAGCTGTCGCGGACGGAACAAATCCTTCGGCATCACATCTCCGCTTTTTCGCCGTGCAGCGTCCGCCTGGGAACCTCCGGGGCGGGACGATCACCAGGGCGCCCAAAGAAGCTGCATCTCCTCGCTCCTCCGGTGTCCTCGCCCTCATCCGCTATTAAAACCGTGAGGGGGGTTCGGGAGGGATGAGGGAGGGCCGGAGGAGGGGTCGAGAAGGGGGAAAGTATGGGCATGGGAGGGGTCGAGAGGGTTAGGAGGGACGAAGGGGGAATCGGAAGAGGGTGAAGAATAGAAAAAAAGGAGACCTCAGGACAGGGAGAGAGGGACAGAGGAAAGGAAGAGGGAATAAAAGTGAAGGAAGGGGGTAACCGTTTTGGATGGGGCGGAATGTAGGCGAGTAAGAGAGCCGGAAGAAGAAATTGTAGGAGTGATAATGGAAGGTATGCAGATACCTGTGTTGCAGTATAAATATATATGATTTTTAAAATTTCCTTTTTGCGTTCTAACATGTGAAAGACAAACACGGGACGGAATGTAGGCGAGCAAGGAAGCCAGAAAAAGAAGGTAGGAGGGATAACGGAAGGGATGCAGTTACCTGTATTATAGTATAATTATCATTAATATGTAAGGAAAACTGCCACAGTAATTTTTGGTATATCATTCGTCTGAAGAATATACTCGCGAAGAGCTCGAAGCGTTCTCTGTGTACATGTTACTGCTTGTGTCTATCAGTAATATATTTTTTTGACATCAATTTGTTTCTTGTAACAAGTGAAAGACAAAAATGAGATGCGAACTTTTATTTACAAAATGGAAATGGACAAAAGATACATTCAAAAGATTCAATTTTCTAGGGCGCGTTTGACATGACCCTTGTCTCGTCGGTGCGTCGAGAGCGAGCTGTAGTGCGAATAAGCGGCTCCACACACTTTGCAGACATAGGGCTTGGCTCCGGTGTGGGAATTCATGTGGAGCTTCAGTTCGTAGGGATTCTTGCACGTCTTGTTGCAGACGGAGCACACCCTTGGTTTCCTCCTGTTCCTCGAGGGCGGGGCCGGCGCCATGGTCTGCCAGTATACACCCGTCTGTGCGCCCGAGAAAGGAAGCTGGGCGGCGTTGGGCGGGGGAGGGAGAGCCACGACGTAATAATTAGCCGCGTACTGGTGAGGGAGGTGAGGATTCTGCTGCGGGGCCTCGGAGGCGAACTGAGGAATCTTGATATCGATGTTCTGCATCGGCACCGAGACAGGGACGTACGAATTAAAGGCGGGAGAATGGTAGTACTGCGGAACATCTGGCGATGGTCCGGGAACCTCGGGAGCAGGATGGAGAGGCGGCTGCTCTGTCGCGATGGGCTGGGGATCCGCCGGCCATTGCGGCTGGACGTCTGCAGAGCCCAAACCCAAGGGCGAAATGTCCGAGACGTTGGAAATATCTTCGGCGTCCAGGTCTTCAAATTCAGTCTTCAGGTAAGCATCGGAGACCTCAGACTTCAACTTCTCACTGCACAACTCCGAGACGAAGATCTGGAAACTCGAGAAATCGATCAGGAACTTCGACAAGTCTTCTTTAGTGTCTTCTTGAGCGTCGGAACGAAAGAGGGGCTTCGAAACATCGATATCCAACAAGTCGAAGAAATCCAACATGCTCGTGGAATCCGAAGAACCAGGAGGAACAGACGGAGAAGAAGGAGCAGAAATCACCTCCTCTTTAATTACAGGGCTCTTGGTCGGTGAAGAAGGAGCATCTCCCTCGCCGAGAACCCCCGTCAGGAAAAGACCCTGAGATAGCTCGGAAACTTCGATGGCTTGCATTGTCAGTGGAATGATGTTGACGAGACACAGACCCAGAATACTTATACCCAAGAATCAGACAGGGACACGGGAAGGGTGAAAGAGACCTGGCTAAAGTAATAACGGTAATTTCAGGCGTAACAAGGGCTCAGCGAGGAACACAGAACGACAGGTGAACAATGGCCATTACTGTGTCTTCAGATCCAGGGAGGAACTGAGTAATACTCTTCAGATCAACATTGCATTTCGGTCACTGCTTAGAGAAAGTGATATCACTATTATTATTGTTATTATTATTATTGTTATTATTATTATCATTATTATCATTATTATTATTATTATTATTATTATTGTTATTATTATTATTATTATTATTATTATCATTATCATTATTATTAAATTATTATTATATTAATATTATTATATTAATATTATATTAATATTATATTATTATTATCATTAATAGTATTATCATCTTTAGTATTATCATCTTTAGTATTAGTAATAGTACTAATATTAGTATTAGTGTTAGTAATAATACTGTTATAATGATTATAATAGTAATGATAATAATAATAATAATAATAATAATAATGATAATAATTATTATTATTACTGTCATCAACAATATTATTATTATCACTATTATTATTACTCATTATTATTATTACTCATTATTATTATTATTCATTATTATTACTCATTATTATTATTACTCATTATTATTACTCATTATTATTATTACTCATTATTATTATTACTCATTAATATTATTACTCATATATATTATCATTATTATTATGCATTATTATTATCTCATTATTAGCTATTACTCATTATTATTATTACTCATTATTATTATTACTCATTAATTATATATTCTATTATTATTATTATTGCTATTACTTATTATTATTGCTATTATTATTATTATTGCTATTATTATTATTATTGCTATTATTATTATTATTGCTATTATTATTATTATTGCTATTATTATTATTGCTATTATTATTATTATTGCTATTATTATTATTATTGCTATTATTATTATATTGCTATTATTATTATTATTGCTATTATTATTATTATTGCTATTATTATTATTATTGCTATTATTATTATTATTGCTATTATTATTATTATTGCTATTATTATTATTATTGCTATTATTATTATTATTGCTATTATTATTATTATTGCTATTATTATTATTATTGCTATTATTATTATTATTGCTATTATTATTATTATTGCTATTATTATTATTATTGCTATTATTATTATTATTGCTATTATTATTATTATTGCTATTATTATTATTATTGCTATTATTATTATTATTGCTATTATTATTATTATTGCTATTATTATTATTATTGCTATTATTATTATTATTGCTATTATTATTATTATTGCTATTATTATTATTATTGCTATTATTATTATTATTGCTATTATTATTATTATTGCTATTATTATTATTATTGCTATTATTATTATTATTGCTATTATTATTATTATTGCTATTATTATTATTATTGCTATTATTATTATTATTGCTATTATTATTATTATTGCTATTATTATTATTATTGCTATTATTATTATTATTGCTATTATTATTATTATTGCTATTATTATTATTATTGCTATTATTATTATTATTGCTATTATTATTATTATTGCTATTATTATTATTATTGCTATTATTATTATTATTGCTATTATTATTATTATTGCTATTATTATTATTATTGCTATTATTATTATTATTGCTATTATTATTATTATTGCTATTATTATTATTATTGCTATTATTATTATTATTGCTATTATTATTATTATTGCTATTATTATTATTATTGCTATTATTATTATTATTGCTATTATTATTATTATTGCTATTATTATTATTCATTGCTATTATTATTATCATTGCTATTATTATTATCATTGCTATTATTATTATATTGCTATTATTATTATTATTGCTATTATTATTATTATTATTGCTATTATTATTATCATTGCTATTATTATTATCATTGCTATTATTATTATCATTGCTATTATTATTATTATTGCTATTATTATTATTATTATTGCTATTATTATTATCATTGCTATTATTATTATCATTGCTATTATTATCATTGCTATTATTATTATTATTGCTATTATTATTATTATTATTGCTATTATTATTATCATTGCTATTATTATTATCATTGCTATTATTATCATTGCTATTATTATTATTATTGCTATTATTATTATTATTGCTATTATCATTATTATTGCTATTATTATTATTATTGCTATTATTATTATTATTGCTATTATCATTATTATTACTAGTATTATTATTATTACTACTATTATTATTATTACTACTATTATTATTATTACTACTATTATTATTATTACTACTATTATTATTATTACTACTATTATTATTATTACTACTATTATTATTATTACTACTATTATTATTACTACTACTATTATTATATTACTACTATTATTATTATTACTACTATTATTATTATTACTACTATTATTATTATTACTACTATTATTATCATTACTACTATTATTATTCATTACTACTATTATTATTATTACTACTATTATTATCATTACTTACTATTATTATCATTACTACTATTATTATCATTACTACTATTATTATTATTACTACTATTATTATCAATTACTACTATTATTATTCATACTACTATTATTATCATACTACTACTATTATTATCATTACTACTATTATATATATTACTACTATTTATTATTACTACTATTATTATACTACTACTATTATTATTACTACTTACTATTATTATTATACTACTATTATTATTATTATTGCTATTATATATTGCTATTTTATTATTATTGCTATTATTATTCTATTGCTATTATTATTATTATTGCTATTATTTATTATTATTACTAACTATTATTATTATTGCTATTATTATTATTATGCTATTATTATTATTATTGCTATTATTATTATTATTGCTATTATTATTATTATTGCTATTATATTATTATGCTATTATTATTATTATTGTTATTATTATTATTGGCTATTATTATTATTATTGTATTATTATTACTATTGCTATTATTATTATTATTGCTATATTATTATTATTGCTATATTATTAGTTATTGCTACTTATTATTATTATTGCTATTATTATTATTATTGCTATTATTTTATTATTGCTATTATTATTATTATTGCTATATATTATATTATTATTGCTATATTATTATTAATATTGCTATTATTATGTATTATGCTATATTATTATATTGCTATTATATTATTATTGCTATTATTATGATATTATTATTATTCTTATTATTATTATTGATATTATTATTATTATTGCTTTATTATATTATTGCTATTATTATTATTAATTGCTATTATATTATTATTGCATTATTATATTATTGATATTATTATTATTATTGCTATTATTATTATTATTGTTATATTATTATTGCTATTATATTATTATTGCTATTATATTATTATTGCTATCATTATTATTATTGCTATGATTATTATTGCTATTATTATTATTTATTATTGTATTATTATTACTATGCTATTATTATTATATATTGCTATTATTATTATTATTGCTATTATTATTATTATTGCTATTATTATTATTATTGCTATTATTATTATATTGCTATTAATATTATTATTGCTATTATTTATTATTATATTGCTATTATTATTATTATTGATATATTATTATTATTATTGCGATTATTATTATATATTGCTATTATATTATTAGTATTGCCTATATTATTATTATTATTGCTATTATTATTAATTATTATTGCTATTATTATATTATTATTGCTATTATTATTATTATTATTGCTATTATTATTATTATTATTGCTATTATTATTATTATTATTGCTATTATTATTATTATTATTGCTATTATATTATTATTATTGCTATTACTATTATTATTATTACTATTATTATTATT